GTTTTGAACTCCTGGCCTCAAGTGATTCTCCTGCCTCGAGCTCCCAAAGTTGGGGTTACAGGCATTAGTCACTGTGCCTGGCCTCATTAAAAAAAAAAAAAATTAAGACAGGGTCTCAGTAGGTAGCCCAGGCTGTGTTTGAGTGATCCTCCGGCATCAGCCTCCTGAGTTGGGGATTATAGGCATATGCTGCCATATGCTGCCATGCCTGGCTCTGCCCAAATCATTCTCTCCGCATTTGTCTAGCAGGCCCTGTCAGACCCTCTCTGTAAACTGTATGGAAAGCAAAATTCCCACCCTGAGAGCAAAACTTCCCTTTCTCCATCTCACCCCACCTCTTCCTGTTAGTAAACATAGACAATAGCATTCCACACCCAGGGTCTGTCCTCCACCTTGACTCCTCTGAGGAGGCAGGGGAGGAATGCTGAGAGCACCCTCTACCTGCCATTCTCCACCCTCTCAGTCAGGACCCCAAATGGACAGAGAAAGGGACGTCAAGGTCTCTGCCCCTGTGAGCCCAAGAGGGCAGGTAGGTCAATCCAGTGTCCCCCTTCAGGTGACTTTCCTCCTGTCCCTGACAAGAGGACTGTTAACATTGATACCCCAAGAGCCAGAGGCCTGTCCTGTGGCCCCGGGTGCTCTTCACAGGGTTCCAGCCCCCTGACCCCCCTCAGATGCTCCCCAGAACGTGGTTAGAGCCCCTGCAGAGGCTCAGCTCGTCTGTGGCTGGGCTGGCCGGGCACCACCTAGCACCAGGCTCCTGGAAGTTCTTGGGGTCCAGCCTTCCACCCCACACTCTGTGGCTCACAGTGCCCACCTGCCCTGGCTCCAACCATCCTGGCTGACTCGCTGCCAGGTTCCCTTGTCTCCAGTTCCGTCTCAGGCTCGCCTCAGCTCACTCCTGCCCCACCACGAGTGGCATGAACACCTCTGCCTCCTGACTGGTTCCCACTTTATCTCTGAGTGATGTCCAAGACCCTTTTACAAAGGACAGGTGTCTGGTCCCTCCTATGTGACAGAATGACCAGAGGCCCTTGGAGGAAATCCCACTTCTCATCTTAGTGCAGTGCTTCTTGGGAGGGTCTAAGAGCGGCCCAGGTCAGGACTGTGACCTTGGAGGGACCCTTCTTCCTTACTGCCCCTGGACCTCTGCCCTGGCCTCCTCAGACAACTTTGCGCACACACACCCCGAGCATCTTCCCCGCATCTAATCAGTGTGCTCCTGCCCCCTGCAACACCTTGCCAGCCCCAGCCCATGTCATGCTCACGCCATTGAGCCTGGCACTGTTGAAGGAGCTCACACGCTTCTTCACTGAAAGCCCTGCCACGAGTTTTGGCCAGAGTCCCTGGGGCTCCACAGATACATCCTTGTCCCCTGCTGTCTTGCCACTTGCTCCCTGCTGTAGAGGGCCTCG